GATTAGCCCGACTAGTAGGAAGGATACCGCGAGGGAAATTGTAAGGTCCGTACCTACCTAGATCACTCCAGCTTCGTCGCAAAAATTGCGCGGTTAGGGCGCTAATCCTTACGGGCCTGCAACCATCGACCCCGTTGCAACGCTTCCCACCCACCGCGAGATGGTGAGATCAGCGTGCTCTCTCAAACGACGTGCTCTCTCGCGTATTTTGTCTTCTTTGATCGCCCTGTCTCGCCATCGTACCACATCCGACCTTATTGAAGGTTAAGGCCTTAATTTCAGCGTTCCCAAAGATTCTCTTGCTTTCCTTTTCCCACTTTCAGGTCGTTCCGCAGCTAAGCTATCACTACGAAGCGCTGATAGCACCAGTTCAGTTTAATCCCGGAGTTTGCCTTTGAAGGACGCGGAAAATGGTAGCTCTCGAGTCCCTCTGTGTCACAAGTCCGTATAATGCACCAGCCGCTGGAAGATCGACCACAATTTTGATATTTTTAACAATTCCTTTTGGTTGCGCTCATGTGGTTAGGGAGGACATCGAAGTGAGTAATGAGCTTGGCACTCAGGTCTTACGGGAAGAGTTTTTGATGGCGATCGTGGACAGCCTGTCGTTTCATCCGTCCCCTGGGCTCAGTCCTAGTGTCATCTACCAGCGGTTTCTGTATGCTTTTTCGAATGTCCCTCTGAGGACATGAGCGCCCCTTTTGACACTTTTGGCTAATTATGGTCAGTGGGCCTGAGTTAGCCCCAGAATCCTGCCATTCATGAATGTGTTATTAAAGTATTAATGTTGCAATGCAGTTGGACAGTACTGAAACCGTCATAAAATTTTATCGCATTGAGTCATTACAGTAATTATAAACGTACCGTAATATTTTCCTAAGCGTTCGTCGACATATCGAATGTCGCTTTCGCCCGAGTCACGCAGCTTACTGAAGGTCAGCGAACCTTGGAAAGCACAGACCGGTTTCTGAAAAACCATCGTATATACAGAATTCTCTCAATTTGAACAAGTCTTGCGACTATTAGGCCTATCCCGATTTTTCTGCACGATTTTGCGTACCGTGCAAAAAAGTTGGAGTGATGCGACAGCAATACGATAAAGAACTTGTGCCCGCAAATTGATTCTCCTGATCCCCTTCCCCTTATGCTTTCATTTATGTGTATTCGATCAGATCCAGTACACAGGTTTGTCAATGATTCTTCAGATCGCGTTACCCATTCTACTAC